TTACTGAGGGACACAGAATTGTTACTGAGGGACACAGAATTGTTACTGAGGGACACAGAATTGTTACTTAGGGGACACAGAATTGTTACTTAGGGACCACACAAATTGTTACTGAGGGACACAGAATTGTTACTGAGGGACACAGAATTGTTACTTAGGGACACAGAATTGTTACTTAGGGACACAGAATTGTTACTGAGGGACACAGAATTGTTACTGAGGGACACAGAATTGTTACTGAGGGACACAGAATTGTTACTCAGGGACACAGAATTGTTACTTAGGGCCACAGAATTGTTACTCAGGGACAGACAGAATTGTTACTGAGGGACACAGAATTGTTACTCAGGGACACAGAATTGTTACTGAGGGACACAGAATTGTTACTGAGGGACACAGAATTGTTACTGAGGGCCACAGAATTGTTACTGAGGGACACAGAATTGTTACTGAGGGACACAGAATTGTTACTTAGGGCCACAGAAATTGTTACTTAGGGACACAGAATTGTTACTCAGGGACAGACACAGAATTGTTACTGAGGGACACAGAATTGTTACTTAGGGGACACAGAATTGTTACTGAGGGACACAGAATTGTTACTCAGGGACACACAGAATTGTTACTGAGGGACAGACACAGAATTGTTACTGAGGGACACAGAATTGTTACTGAGGGACACAGAATTGTTACTGAGGGACACAGAATTGTTACTGAGGGACACAGAATTGTTACTTAGGGCACAGAATTTCCTACTAGGGACAGACACAGAATTGTTACTGGGGACACAGAATTGTTACTCAGGGACACACACAATTGTTACTCAGGGACAGACACAGAATTGTTACTCAGGGACAGGACACAGAATTGTTACTCAGGGACACAGAAATTGTTACTCAGGGACACAGAATTGTTACTCAGGGACACAGAATTGTTACTCAGGACACAGAAATTGTTACTCAGGGACACACAGAATTGTTACTGAGGGACATTGTTACTCAGAATTGAATTACTCAGGGACACAGAATTGTTACTCAGGGACACAGAATTGTTACTCAGGGACACAGAATTGTTACTCAGGGACACAGAATTGTTACTGAGGGACACAGAATTGTTACTGAGGGACACAGAATTGTTACTCAGGGACAGACACAGAATTGTTACTGAGGGACACAGAATTGTTACTGAGGACACAGAATTGTTACTGAGGGACACAGAATTGTTACTGAGGCCACAGAATTGTTACACACAGAATTTGTTACTCAGGGACAGACACAGAATTGTTACTGAGGGACACAGAATTGTTACTGAGGGACACAGAATTGTTACTGAGGGACACAGAATTGTTACTGAGGGACACAGAATTGTTACTGAGGGACACACAGAATTGTTACTACTGTTAGGGACACAGAATTGTTACTGAGGGACACAGAATTGTTACTGAGGGACACAGAATTGTTACTCAGGGACACAGAATTGTTACTGAGGGACACAGAATTGTTACTCAGGGACACAGAATTGTTACTCAGGGACACAGAATTGTTACTCAGGGACACACAGAATTGTTACTCAGGGACACAGAATCGTTTAATTAAAGAGTATGTCAGACAACATGCAGAGGAGTGGCAGAGGAGGCAATGTTTTAGGAGCGAGCAGACGTGGCAGCAGAGGAAGGGGTCGAGGCAGCACTAGTCGCAGCCAGAGGCCAGTGCTCCCGGTGTCATCCAGCGGTCGTGTCTCCACCGACAACCCTGCCGTCATCGATTGGTTGGCTCGGTCGTCTTCCTCTTCCCAGGTCACCTGACACCTACAGCCAACGGTCGGTGGGTACGTCAGACACAACCGTTAGTTGGCATGGCCCGGGAGCAAGCCCACTGAAATCACGTGTCCTCTACCTGCCCCTGTCCTTTGGTGTTCCCTCACCAAGCGAAGTATCGCATGCTGTGGGCTCAGCCCCACTGTACAGTGAGGAAGAGCTAACAGAGGGCGGTCAGGAACGGGGGGAGACATCCGCCTCTTCAGCAGCCAGGCGAAGAAGTAGTGGCGAGGAGAGTGGCTCGGTAGCCGGTCTAGAGACAGGTCTGTCTCCTGACCCACACGCACCAGCCGAGGGGGCTAGTAGTGAGGCGGAGACCCTAATTGATGATGATGAGGCTGATCGCACTTGGCAGCCTCGTCGTCATCAGGCTATTGCTTCCGCATCATCAGGAGAAGAGGGTGGCAGCTTGGCAGCGAGCAAAACAGTCGGTGGGTTGCCCAGGAGGCAGCAGGGTCGCAGCAGTGTCAGTGGAGGCAAACGGCCACGGAGTAGAGCACCAGCTCCACTGCAGCCTACCACCACGGCCAGTAGTGGTGCCGGTGTGCACGGAGGAAGTAGCAGTCAGCCAGTGAGGAGTATCGGGGGCAAAGTTTCCTACTCGGCGGTGTGGCAATTTTTCGTCAAGCCGCCCGAGGAAGTAAACGTAGCCGTATGTCGACTATGTGGCCAGAAAGTCAAGCGTGGCCAGGGGGCCCATGTTGGGACTACAGCGTTGCGGCAGCATATGCAGCGTCGCCATTTGGTGGCCTGGGAAAACCGTGATAAAGATACGGCGGTTCTGCCTGCCCCAGCCCCCGCTCCATCACCCGCTCCGTTACTTGCTCCGTCACCCGACGACGTCAATCGCCCCTCTATCAGCCAGTCAAGGCTCCAACACCTCTGCTGAGGGGAGTTGTCGCTCGTTGGCATCTTCCGCTCGTTCAGATGCTCCTTCTCCTGCTACTCCTCTTCACGGATTCCGTCAGCAGTCTTTCTTGGAATCCGTTTCCAAGAGACAACAGTTTGCGAGCACGCACCCGACGGTGCAAAAGCTGAACGTCCTCCTGTCCAAGTTGCTGGTGCTGCAGTCCCTCCCTTTCCAAGTGGTGGACTCAGCACCTTTCCGAGAAATGATGGCTTGTGCCGCGCCGCGGTGGAGAGTGCCAAGCCGTCATTTCTTCGCCAAAAAGGCAGTGCCAGCCCTGCATTCACATGTAGAAGAGATGGTGGGCCAGTCTTTGAGCATGTCGGTCTCTGCCAAAGTGCACGGCAGCGCCGACGTGTGGAGCTGTAACTACGGTCAGGGACAGTACATGTCATTTACGGCCCACTGGGTGAACGTGGTGCCGTCACAGCCGCCGCACCAGCAACTTGGACAGGTCACGCCGCTTTTGCCTCCACGTTTGCACGTCCTTGGTCCACAAAAGATGTCCGCCTCTACCACCTCTTCTTCCGCCGTGTCCTCAGCCGCCACCCCCCCCCCGCCAAGTCCCATTACCCGACCGGCATATCACATGTGCAGGGCGCAACGGTGTCACGCTGTGCTGCACCTGGTATGCCTTGGCGAACGTAGTCACACAGGGGAGGAACTTCTCAGTGTAATGAACAGAGAAATCGACAGATGGCTGTCTCCGCGCAAACTGAAAATCGGAACCATGTTGACCGACAACGGAAAGAACATGGTGTCTGCTCTGCGTCAAGGAAGGTTGTGCCATGCGCCATGCATGGCTCACGTGTTCAATCTGGTTGTCAAGCGGTTCCTAAAATCCACCATCCCACTGCAAGACATCCTTAAAATGTCACGTAAACTTTGCATGCATTTCAGCCATTCCTACACCGCAAAGCACACCCTCCTTGAGCTGCAGCGGCAGAACGGAATTCCACAGCATCGCCTGATCTGCGACGTTGCAACAAGGTGGAATTCAACCCTACACATGTGTTAGACCGCCTTTACGAACAGCGAAAGGCCATCACCGATTTCCTGATGTTACAAGCGGATAAAGGTACTCCCCTGTGTAACTTCGATGTCAGCCATTGGCAGCTCATGCGTGACACCTGCCGCTTGCTCAGGCCCTTTGAGGAGGCCACGCTATTCGTGAGTCGGCAGGACTATGGGATGAACGACGTCATTCCTCTGTTGCACGTCCTGGAACAAATGCTGTTAACAATGGCTGGTCAGGGTGCGGTAGACGTGGCGCACAGATCTCAACGCCACATGACCCCTGTGGGGGCAGGACAGGAAGAAGAGGAGGAGGTAGAGGAGGACATTTGTGCTCAGGAATTATTGAGTGAAATGGGTGGTTTTTCCACTCAGCGGACAGGAGTGGAGGAGCAGGAGCATCTGGTAGAGGAGGAGGAGGAGAGAGACAGAGGACCCAGACGCACCGTGGCAGTATGCTGTGGAGATGGAGGCAGGGAGTCCCCTCGCATTCCTTGGCACAAATGGCCCATAGCATGCTCGGTTGCTTGCGTAGCGACAGCCGAATAATAACCATCAGACAGAGGGATGACTTTTGGCTGTCCACCTTGTTGGACCCTCGCTACCGTTCAAAAATGGTGGCCTTTTTCACACCTGCTGAGAGGGAGGCCAAAATAACGTACTATAAAAACCACCTATGTAGTCAGTTGGTCTCTGCCTTTCTGCTGCGCCAACGTCCATCCTCAGACACTGTGGGCCCTGTGCGCTCGCGTTCCGCTGCCATGGCAGCAGGGGAGGGGGGGGGGGGTGGTAGGAGCAGTGGCAGCTCCACCAGCAGCGGCTGCCTCAGTCTGCAGTCGATGATGAGTAGCTTTCTTCACCAGCGCAGTGAGGAAACTACTAACCCAGCCGCAGCAGCAGCAGCAGCATCAGGTGGACCTGGAGCAGGACCTCAAACAACAGGCTTGGGCCTACTTGGACAGCACCCTGCCAACCGAGGTAGACAATCCCCTTGACTACTGGGCAACGAAACTTGACCTTTGGCCCCAACTAGCTGAATTTGCCCTTGAAAGGCTGTCATGCCCGGCCAGCAGTAGCGTGGCATCGGAGCGCGTGTTTAGTGCGGCAGGAGGTATTGTAACTCCGCGGAGGACACGACTGTCCACCCAAAGTGTGGAGAGACTCACGTTTGTGAAAATGAATCAGGCGTGGATTAGTCTGGATTTCAAACCACCAGTTCCTGACACAACTGACTAAATCCGCCATGAATCATGCCCCAAACATGTGCCACTTTCAGGTCTCCTCACACTGCTGGTGTGTTCCATTTTTTGTCATAGGGTGCTGGCAGATTACGGGCCTCCCATAGCTGCTGCCAGGCCCCTAATCTGCCATGGGCCCCTGTACCGCCTCCTCATGCTGCTGCCAGGTCCACAGTGTCTCATGGGTCCCTGTACGGCCTCCCATTGCTGCTGTCTCCATCGCCACACTCTGCCATGTGCCACTTTCAGGTCTCCTCACACACTGCTGGTGTGTTCCATTTTTTTGTCATAGGGTGCTGGCAGATTACGGGCCTCCCATTGCTGCTGCCAGGCCCCTAATCTGCCATGGGCCCCTGTACCGCCTCCTCATGCTGCTGCCAGGTCCACAGTGTCTCATGCCATGTACGGCCACTTGCTGTCAGGTCTCTCTGCATGTGCCACTTTCAGGTCTCCTCACACTGCTGGTGTGTTCATTTTTTGTCATAGGGTGCTGGCAGATTACGGGCCTCCCATAGCTGCTGCCAGGCCCCCTAATCTGCCATGGGCCCCTGTACCACCGCCCTCCTCATGCTGCTGCCAGGTCCAGAGTGTCTCATGGGTCCCTGTACGGCCTCCCATTGCTGCTGTCTCCATCGCCACACTCTGCCATGTGCCACTTTCAGGTCTCCTCACACACTGCTGGTGTGTTCCATTTTTTGTCATAGGGTGCTGGCAGATTACGGGCCTCCCATAGCTGCTGCCAGGCCCCTAATCTGCCATGGGCCCCTGTACCGCCTCCTCATGCTGCTGCCAGGTCCACAGTGTCTCATGGGTCCCTGTACGGCCTCCCATTGCTGCTGTCTCCATCGCCACACTCTGCCATGTGCCACTTTCAGGTCTCCTCACACACTGCTGGTGTGTTCCATTTTTTGTCATAGGGTGCTGGCAGATTACGGGCCTCCCATTGCTGCTGCCAGGCCCTAATCTGCCATGGGCCCCTGTACCGCCTCCTCATGCTGCTGCCATGTCCACAATGCCATGGTCCCTGTACACCCATTGCTGTCTCATGCTCTGCCATGTGCCACTTTCAGGTCTCCTCACACACTGCTGGTGTGTTCCATTTTTTGTCATAGGGTGCTGGCAGATTACGGGCCTCCCATTGCTGCTGCCAGGCCCCTAATCTGCCATGGGCCCCCTGTACCGCCTCCTCATGCTGCTGCCAGGTCCACATGTGTCTCATGCCATGTGCCACTTTCAGTCTCCTCCTCACTGCTGGTGTGTTCCATTTTTTGTCATAGGGTGCTGGCAGATTACGGGCCTCCCATAGCTGCTGCCAGGCCCCTAATCTGCCATGGGCCCCCGTACCGACTCCTCATGCTGCTGCCAGGCCCGTAATCTGTCATGGGCCCCTGTTGTCGCTTGTTGGCATATTCCGCTCGTTCAGATGCTCAGGCCCTTCTCCTGCTACTCCTCTTCACGGATTCCGTCAGCAGGCTTTCTTGGAATCCGTTTCCCAGAGACAACAGTTTTGCAAGCACGCACCCGACGGTGTGCAGAAGCTGAACGTCCTCCTGTCCAAGTTGCTGCTGCCAGGCTCGTAATCTGTCATGCGCCCCCTGTACCGCCTCCTCATGCTGCTTCCAGGTCCAGAGTGTGTCATGGGCCCCCGTACCGACTCCTCATGCTGCTGCCAGGCCCGTAATCTGTCATGGGCCCCTGTACCGCCTCCTCATGCTGCTGCCAGGTCCAGAGTGTCTCATGGGTCCCTGTACGGCCCCCATTGCTGCTGTCTCCATCGCCACACTCTGCCATGTGCCACTTTCAGGTCTCCTCACACTGCTGGTGGGTTCCATTTTGTCATAGGGTGCTGTATGGCCTCCCATTGCTGCTGCCTCCACCGCCACACTGTGACTCCACACTCTGGTTTTGGCCCCGTGACTGCCCAAATGAGTGAAGTGTGCGGTGATTCTAAGATCGACGGCACTCATCTGCATGTCATACTGACTGACAGTATTATTTCTCTTCCCCAGCAGACTCCAAGGGCATTTAAATTAAAGGTACAGTGTTCTGCACTAATATAAAGGCTCTCTGAAGCCTAGAAACACCCTTTTATAAGTTAAATTCGCAGCGAATATATTCGACTCGAATCAAAATTTTTTCACGAATTCGCCGAATCAGTCGAATCGAATTTTTTAATAATTCGCTCATCTCTAGATATAACATAAGCAATAAAGTGGAGGAAATATTTACAGTGTAACAACACCTACCATCTGTTCTAAGTGTATCTTGATAAACTGTCCAGATATTGGATTAAACATGTTTGAGACTCTAGTCCAGGGGTCTCCAGGGGAGCCTTTATCTGGCCCTTGGGGCACTATTCCTCCCAATGATATGAGGCATTATTGTTCCCACTTACACCAACAATGGGGCACTATTTCCTTCATTGAAACTAATGTTGGGGTACTATTTCTTCCATTAATATCAATGGTGGGGCACTACTCTTCCTCCTACTGACCACCAACCCTGAGGCCATGTTTATTTTCACTAATGCTGGTTCTGGGACATTTTCTACCCCAATGGCCACAATCTGGGCCTCCTAAAGTCTGAAGGACAGTAAACTGGCCCTTTGTTTGAAAACTATGGAAATTGCTGCTTTAGGCAAACAACAAATCATATACAGTTGCAAGAAAAAGTATGTGAACCCCTTGGGATTACGTGGAGTTTTGCATGAATTGGGCATAAAATGTGCTCTGAACGTCATCTAAGTCACAACAATAGAAGAACACAGTCTGCTGAACATAATACTACACACAACATTAGATGTTGCCATGGTTTAATTGCACATAACATGTAAACATTCACAGTGCAGGGAGGAAAAAGTATGTGAGGCCCTAGCTTAATGACTTCTCCCAGAGCTAATTGGAGCCAGGAGTGAGCCAACCTTGACTCCAATCAGTGTGATGATATTGGATGTGTTGCTGACAGTTGTCCTGCCCTTAAAAAACACACACCTGTTTTGGGTTTACTGGTTTCAAGAAGCACTGTCTGATGTGAACCATGCCTCGCAGAAAAGAGCTCTCAGAAGACCTACGATCAAGAATTGTTGACTTGCATGAAGCTGGAAAGGGTTACAAAAGTATCTCCAAAAGCCTTGATGTTCATGTGTCCACGGTAAGACAGACTGTCTACAAATGGAGAAAGTTTAGCACTGTTGCTACTCTCCTAGGCGTGGTCGTCCTGTAAAAAATGACTGCAAGAGCACAGCGCAGAATGCTGCATGAGGTAAAGAAGAATCCCAGAGTGTCAGCTAAAGACCTACAGAAATCTCTGGCACATGCTAACATTTTTGTTGACACATCTACAATAAGGAAAACATTAAACAAGAATGGAGTACATGGGAGGACACCACGGAGGAAGCCATTGCTGTCCAAAAAGAATATTGCAGCACGTTTGAAGTTCACAAAAGAGCACCTGGATGTTCCACAGCACTACTGGCAAAATATACTGTGGACAGATGAGACCAAGATTGAGTTGTTTGGGAAGAACACACAACACTATGTGTGGAAAAAAAGGCACACCACACCAACATCAAAACCTCAACCCCACTGTGAAACATGGCGGAGGGAGCATCATGATTTGGGGCTGCTTTGCTGCCTCAGGGCCTGGACAGATTGTTGTCATTGATGGGAAAATGAATTCCAGAGTTTATCAAGACATTTTGCAGGAAAACGTACGACCATCTGTCCGCCAACTGAAGCTCCGCAGAGGATGGGTGATGCAACAGGGACAATGACCCAAAGCATACAAGTAATTCCAACAAAAACAATGGCTGCAACAGCACAGAATACGCCTTCTGGAGTGGCCCAGTCATGAGTCCTGACCTCAACCCGATGGAAATGCTGTGGCATGACCTTAAGAGAGCGATTCACACCAGACATCCCAAGAATATTGCTACACTGAAACAGTTTTGTGAAGAGGAGTGGTCCAAAATGACTCCAGATCGTTGTGCAGGAGTCTGATCTGCATCTACAGGAAACGTTTGTTGAGGTATTATTGCTGCCAAAGGAGGGTCAACCAGTTATTATGTCCAAAGGTTCACATACTTTTTCCTCTCTGCACTGTGAATGTTTACATGTTATGTGCAATTAAAACCATGGCAACATCTAATGTTTGTGTAGTATTATGTTCAGCAGACTGTGTTCTCTTCTATTGTTGTGACTTAGATGACATTCAGAGCACATTTTATGCCCAATTCATGCAAAACTCCACGTAATCCCAAGGGGGTTCACATACTTTTTCTTGCAACTGTAGTTGAAATGCATATATATGACTAGTTTAACCTGCAAACAGATTATTCATTTTGTCCAGCCAGTCCTGTAATCCAGGCACTCCTGTCACATAGCTAGTCTAGGACATGCAACCCTCTGCTGATAAAACAATAAATATTTTTGAACAATATCACAAGTGTAATAAAAGCGCCACACCCTTAATACTTTAAAAGCAGCAATTCCACCTCAAAGAAACCAAATAAATTTCTTAGTGCTATAACTTAAATCAAGGAATGCGCTAAAACCACAAACTATTCCTAATTTAGTGTAGAAACATTAGTGCAAAAGATATATATATCTATTATCAATTAATATCAAAAAATATCAAAATTATGTGCAAAACATAAGTAATTTAAATAATTAAATTTGTGAATATAAAAAAAAACAAAAATGTCCAATTCTGAATTTCTTCAAATGTCCAAATAAATCCTTTCCAAATTCAGGTGCTCTCAAAGAAATTGTGCCAAAATCCACCACCAAAAGTAAAGTTGGGTAACTCACCAGAGCTCCATGCTGATCAATCTCTAGATCAGCAAAAAAAACGCTTTTTGCTCTGGGAGCAGATGCAATGAATCAACTTCTCAGGTGTGATGATCAATAGCTACACATTCATCCATAAGGTAGGTATCCACCACTCAATATAATGGTTCCAGGAGCATTATATCACTCTCTCTTTTTATATCTCTCCACCGAGGTCATGTTTGGGAAGGAAAGAGAAAAATCATGGTGCAGCCAGTTTTTTTAATAAAAGTATCCAACAATTTAATAAAGATTTACACTCACAAAAAGGGTGTCTTCACCGACACCAGTATAACAGCATAAAACAGCAAATGGTATAACAGTCTCCTGTTTCCCCGTACACTCACTACAGCGCTCGTGACTTAATTTTCTCCACAAAACGTCAGCATCCAGTAAGCCCTACTAGTTTCGTCATGAATGACGTCTTCAAGGGGCGGTCTGGATGCAGACGTCGGCTCCTCTCTAATATACCACCCGCACTCTGCATTGCTGAGCAGCTTAACCAATCACATTAACAACTCCATGAATATGCATCTCCAATTACAGAATGTTAAGGCGAAGCAGCTCAATCTCCAAACAAGCTTCCAACCTCGTCTTACACCCTGCAATTTCTTTTTTACAAAACATCCACAAATATCACAGGCCATATAACAGCATCAAAATACTAAAAAAGCAGCATAAAATGTTAACATCGTCCATTTAAAGGGCCATACCCACATTAAAGAAGAACTCTACAATCAAAATTTTATATATATAAAAAAATACATATATAAATGTGTAGTAAAAAAAATACATAAAATATCTCTAAAAAATACAAACCAAAAACTATACATAAAAATGAAACAAGTAATCCCCCTTAATTTATATATCAAAAAATTCCTTCACAATCCCCATATATCACAAATTCCGTTTTTTTCTTTTTTCTTAACCCAAAGCATGTAGAATATCCAAGAAGTATTCTTTCAAAAGTTTGTCAAAAAACAGTTAAGATCAATATCTATATTCATACCTTTTGGTTTTAAACAGTCCAATTCATATATCCAATATGTTTCCTTCTTTGATATTTCTTTAAATCATATCAGACCCCTTCCAATGCTCATTAACTTTTTCAATGCCATAAAAAAATTGCTAAACTTGGGTCACTATTATGTTTTAATTTAAAATGCTTCGACACACTATGTTTTTCAAAACCTTTTTTTATATTATTTTAAATGTTCTGCAATCCTCGTCTTCAAATGTCTCCCTGTTCTTCCTACGTATTGGAGGCGACACGGGCACTCCAAAACATAGATCACATGTGTTGAATTACATGAGATAAACGAGTCGATATTATATTCTTTGTTAGTTGTACTTGAGCAAACTTTTTCTTACTTTTACTCAAGCCTTATTCGCTGTTTTACATACTTTACATTTTTTACAGTGAAAAAAACCTTTTAGACCCGGAAAAAATTTTTTCTTTATATTAGGGGGATCTAAAATATTATGGACTATCTTTGTTTTCAGAGATCTATTTTTTCTATAGATAAATTTTGGTCTCTGGGGAATAATTTCTCTCAATACTTCATCTTTCAAAAGTATGGGCCAATATTTTTAACAATTCCTTCTATGATCTTATATTGATTATTTGAAATTTGTAATAAATGAGATATCGAAACCTTCATTTTTTTCTTTCTTATCAAGCAAAAGCCTCTTCCTATCTTTTTTATCAATCAAATCCCTTTCAGAAACCAAAAAAGATCTATTATACCCTTTTTTCTGCGAATCTATCTATTAACATTTCTGTTTGATCAAAAAAGTCTTTTTGTAAACTACACAATTTCTTTTTATCCTTGTGAATTGACTTCTTGGGGTACTATATAACCATCTCGGATGATGTCCACTCGAGACGGGAATATAACTATTTTTGTCAACATCCTTGAAAAAGTCTTTGTCCAAATACAACCTTCATGTTTATACAATATCAAATCTAAAAAATTAATACTATTGAAATCACTAGTCATCGTGAATTTCAAACTATAGCGGTTCTCATTGATCACCACCAAAAAGTTTTCCAAATCTTCAAAAGAACCTCTCCAAATCATCACAATATCATCTATATAGCGCCTGTATAGCGCTATTTCAGGCCATTTTTCAAAGATATTTTTTTCTTCCCATTT